ATATGCCAAAATAACCTAGCTGACTTTTAATACTCTGGATGCTGACATGGTTATCTGAGTGAATCGCACCGTAAACTCCTCTGCCCCAGGCATCAAAATGTGTTGGGCTGGCCAGGTTTATAGCCCGAATGTGTTGAGGTTGCCTGGAATACCTTACCTTCTGTCCATGAGAGATAAGAGTAGAGAAAGTGGTGAGGGTGGTATGCCTCCATTGGGAGAAGAGTTAAATATATGCAGAAATATAACGGGAAAGCAGGAGAATGAAGAATTCTGTATAACACATCATTGCTTGTTCTGCCCATTAAAAAGTGTGACGGCAACTTGGCAAGCAACGGAGCAGACAAAGCTGTCATAGAAAAGCATGTGCCAGTGTAAAAAAAAAAAAAATTAAAAAAACAAATAAATGAAAATATTGGTCAGATGACCAAACAAGTTGTTACATAAGACTTCAGTGAAAGAGAACTCTTATGCAGAGAACCAGTAAAATCAGGCTGGCTGCCTTTCAGGACTGGAATAATATGAAAGGCTTGATGTTACTAGCAGTAGTGAACATGGTAGCACCTGAAGTCTAATACTTCTACTTCAGCATGATCTTTCATGTGCAACATCAGCTATTACTATTACTGCAGAATATTAAGTCTGTCTCCTTAATCACATGCTACAGTACATTGGGTCATCTTTGGGCTGACGCAACACTTCATATTGTGAACTAACTTTTCCACAATCTTTTTTTTTTAAGAGCAAGTCCCTCCCCCCCTTCCAAATTATTTCCCTTTTTTTCCCTTTCACTTCCTTGGGCGTCCACCTTGTTTAGAAAGAACTGGTCCTCTTGTCAAAGGGTTGCAAAGAGTCTTAAAGATCACTTAGTGTCCAACCCCTTTCTGAAGGCAGGCTCCACATAATCCAGAAAGCCGTCACAGTGTTCCTCAGAGAGAGCTATCTAGTTTCTGGTTACATGCCTCAACTGAAGGAAGAGTTCAGTCTATTCCAGTAGCTGAACTGCTCTCACTGTTGGGAAGTGCCTGCCAATTGTCTCCCTTTAACCTTCTTTTTGCCAAACTAAACATATCCAAACATCATAGGTACCAGAGTGAGTGAAGGGAGGAGGAGAAAAAAGAGAGAGAGAGAGAGAAGTGTTTTGGAGGAGCAAGTAATGTCTTTAGTGTGAAAACATCTCGAAAGAACTGTGGCATGCTTGCACATGTATTTTCTTATCTTTATTCTGTACACTAGGATTAACCATCTCCGCTTATCCCTGTTTATCTTGTCTGTTTTGAAAAATATGTCCAGCCGCAGGAGCCTGTATGATAACACCATCCTTATTCTCAAGGGATGTAGAAGCTCTCTACACCGATATCCCACGGAGGCCCGAGGTTGGGGACCACTGTTCTACACCAATATCCCACACAGGGACTCACTACAGGCTGTTAGGAACACCAGTGAATGAAAAAAGATGAAGCACCCACAGTCACCACCCCTTGCAACTTTGGATTCACACATCACCATTTCACTTCTGACAATAAAACCTACTTCCAGGTCAACAGAACTACCACGGGCACTGGCATGGCCCCATAATAGGAAAATATATGTATGGCTGACCCAGAGCAACCCCAAGCAACTCTTTCTCAACTGTTGTATCAAAACAACGCTCCTCTATATGAGGTGCATCGGCAACATATTTTTGATCTGGACCCATGCAAAGCAGGATTTCAATGACTTTCATCCAAACATGAACTTTTAAAAAATGCGTTTTAATATTTATCTTAGTTACCATTTTCATATAATACTTTTTAAATATTTGGATGCTTATTGTTTTTATTTTTTAAATATTGTTTTAATAATATAAGCCACCTTGGGTCCTTTTGGGGGAGAAAGGCAGGCTAGAAATATTTAAAAATAAATAAAATAATAAACAGGTTCATTTTCCTTCCACCACTATGAAGCTATAGCACTGACATCTTAGCGCTACACCGTGTCAAAAACCCACTGATCAATACATTTACCTGCATGTTTCCAGTTTCCATCCTGATCACACCACTAAATCTATTATTTACAGCCAAGCTGTCAAATATATTCATGTCAGATATAAATTTCTTAAACCTACACGATAGAGACTCCAAACTGAAGTATTTCCAAAAGACATTTCTCAATGTTGTTCTACAGAATTAAAACTACAGAACAAGAATCCAGAAGGGAAAAAAATAATAAGATAATATATAAATGTATATACACATGATGGACACCCATATCAATGGATTAAATATCTGTCAAGATTTCTGAAAGCATTACCAAGTGTAACCATTCTGTTCTTATCTACAACTACCAGACCCATATTTTCAAAATAAGGCTCAAAGGTAAAGGTGACATTCTTTACATTACCCCACATTGTTGTTCCTCTGTTGTTTCCTTTAATTATGTTACTGTTTACAGAACTTAGTTAGGTAAAGGTAAAGGTTCCCCTTGACAATTTTTGTCCAGTCGTGTCTGATTCTAGGGGGCGGTGCTCATCCCCGTTTCCAAGCCATAGAGCCAGCGTTTTGTCCAAAAAAATAATAAGATAATATATAAATGTATATACACATGATGGACACCCATATCAATGGATTAAATATCTGTCAAGATTTCTGAAAGCATTACCAAGTGTAACCATTCTGTTCTTATCTACAACTACCAGACCCATATTTTCAAAATAAGGCTCAAAGGTAAAGGTGCCATTCTTTACCCCACTATGTTGTTCCTCTGTTGTTTCCTTTAATCATGTTACTGTTTACAGAAGTTAGTTACCGTAGCTTTAAAAGAACTGAATAGTAGACGGGAGCTCACTCCGTCGCATGGATTCGATCTTACGACTGCTTGGTCTTCTGACCCTGTAGCACAGGCTTCTGCGGTTTAGCCCACAGCGCCACCATGTCCTCTTACAGAACTTAGTTACCTTAGCGTTAAAAGAACTGAATACCAAACAGGGGTCATAACTCATTACACCTCTGTCTCTTAGTGAATGTTTTGCTATGTTGTCTCTGAATTCTACTCATATGTCTGAAGAAGAGGGCAATGTTCCACAAAAGCTTACATTAAAATATAGTGGTTAGTCTTTAAAGTGTCAGAATCTCTCTCTCTCTTTGCTTTTCTTTTGTTTTGTGTTTTGTGATGAAGTGCATGATGTCCCCTTTGTCTTGTCAATCTTTGATAGCTATCCTCTTTAGAATGTAACACCCTCTTCCCTGTTGAGACCCCCAATTCCTCTTTCTCATGCAGTCCTTGAGGGGGAATCCAGTAAAAGTTCTGGAAACCACCTGTACTTCATCTCAAAATTTTGCCAGCCTTGCCTTAAGGCAGACAGCCCAGTGCATCAGAACTTCCTTTATTTTGTTCCTTCAGCCACACCCTGGTTCATTTTTTTGGATGTGTGTGTGTGATGATGATTTATTCCCTAAACAGCTTAAGAGGTTGGCCTGAAGAGTTCAAGAGATCTTTAAAGTACAGGGTGGGGCAAGGCTGTATTGGGCAGACATAAGAGGAAAAATGGGCAGAAATTTGTGGGGGGAGGGATGGGGCAGAAGGGGGTCTCAGGAGGAATTCACCCGCTACTTGAAGAATGTTTAAATATTATTTGGGACTTTGTAATAACAGAGGATGGTCTCTGGAATGCAACAGCCCGTTCTGAGTGGCCACAGGAATGAATAAAAACAGGGTTAATAGATGGTTTCACAAGGTTTTTTTTTTTGAAGTGCTCTCTAGTGCCTAGAGAAAAATTTAATGCCTGTCTGAACGACTGTTAAATCCTTCTGTTAATGATGGGAAAAGTTGCCTTTCTGGACTACATCTCCCAGTATCCTCCAGCTTTCATTGCTTTTGGCTAGGTGCAAATTTCTAGCAGTCATAATTCAAAAATGTTACCTCATCCGTTAAAAAGAAATTAGTGAATTCACTTGGGTGATGTCCAAATGGACAGATTATGGAAACGAAGAATGTTTTTCCCTGCCTCCCAAGTAGGGGCTCTTAAGGCATCTGACAACTGTTTCCATCACACCGCAATCCTTTCTAGGCTACAGCCTACACCATGAGATACAGTACTGTTATTATAGCCAGAATAAACCTGTTGTTATTCATTAATGCTCTGCCATAGGATATTTTTTGGTATGTGCTGCAGACTAACAGCCTTGTGAGAAGGGAGGCAGTACACAGCCTTGCACTCATGGCAGGAAAATCAGGGTATAAATGTAAATAATGATAGCAGCAGCAATAATAACAAAAAAAAAGTAGGAGTGAAAGTCAGTGATGAAAGCACAAAGGATTTGAATTAGGATTTCACATTAAGATTTGAATCATAAGCTTACAGATAAAGACATTATTGTTACACTGTCTCACTCAAAGAATTTAATGGGATCTTCAGAGATCATTTTCTGTTTTACTGCACCGTGTCTTCCCTCTTATCATTTTAAATGCCAGAAATGATTTAAACCATTAGGAAAGAAGAAGACATAATTGCTACTATTACCTTTTGCTGTTATCCCTAAGAACTCCCCAGACAGACACACACCAGAAGGATTCCTGGCAGCACACTTCAAGCAGACTTGGGAAAAGTTATGTGTTTGACAACAGTTTTCAGAATCTCCCAGCTAGCTGAAAAGCAAATTTTCCACATTCCCTTTAAAGCTACCGACAGAACTTAAAAGAAGGGGTGGGAAAGCTCGTCAAGTTTTTAGAAGGGATTTCTGTCCTTGCATATCTAAAAATCCAGCTTCTTCTTTAGGTCCCTCATCAAAAATGGGTTTCCTAACAATCACAAAAGCAGAAGTGATTTCCCCCACCACCACCACTGTTCTGATATCTTTCATCATATCATTGGTTAATATTCTCAGTCCAAAGAGCTTTGGAAAGGTGGAATAAAGCAAAGCAAAATTTTCCAGGGAAGCAGAGAAGTAAACATCTAGAAATGAATACAGTTAAAAATACTCAAGAAGAGAAGTAAACCTTCTTAACAGAACCGCCTGTCTTACCCACACTGATGCCAGCAAGAATCACAGCACAGAGCACCAGGAGTTTCCCCATGTTGTTGTTTTGGTGTGTAGTGAGAGCGAGAGCAAGGAATTAAGTTATTCCAATCTGGGTGACTATGAGACAGTGAAAGGGGTTGTATTCCATCTGTACTATATATATACATGCCCCACCTACATGAGTCTAGGTTGCTTGGGTGGGAGGGTTTTGTAGGAGTAAACAGCCAGCCCTTGGGTAACATATGATTCTTAGTGGCAAAAAATAGACACCAGCCTAGGACAAAATGAATCACTCACACACACACAGGGGGGAGGGGGGAAGACTTTGTTATGCAATTCTCCAACCTCAGAGGATTTCATGGGGTGTGTACATGTCCAGATTTATTTATTTATTTTATTTATTTATTCTATTTATATCCCGCCTATCTGATCGATATGACCACCCTAGGTGGCTTACAAAGTCATAATACAATAATGCAATAATAATAGCAATCATAAAAAAGAATTATTACAATCAATATTAAAAACTTCAAGATGGGAAAAAATGAAAAATGAGCTACAAAGAAAAGAGAAGAGAAAAAGCAAATATTAACTGGAGGGGAAGGCCTGCTTGAACATCCAGGTGTTTAGTTGACTTTTAAAAATACCCAGCGAGGAGGCAGCGTGAATCTCTGGAGGAAGATTGTTCCAGAGGTGAAGAGCCACCACCAGTTTCTTGTTTTTTCCTTCCGGGCCTCCCTCGGCGTCAGGCTCCTCAGCCTCACCTCCTGGCTCGTGCGAGTGACACGGGTAGAGCTTGGTGGGAGTAGATGTTCCGCCAAGTATCGATGAAACAGTCCTCCATTTAAGAATCTCATTGGCTTGTCCCAGAGATGGAAAAATAACTTTTGTGGACTTCAGCTTCCAGAATGCCCCCAAAGTTGTAGTCCAAAGTAAATTCCCTATCTCTGGCTTGTCCCGCTCTAGAAAGAAAATCTGGGGTGACTGGAACAGCTGCAAAATGCTTTTTGATTGATTCTTCCAGAAGCCTTTCTTTCTATGGATGCCCTGTTGATGTGGAACTGGAAGTCTTCCGTTGTTGTAGTGTCTGAAATGCACACACACTTCGAGGGAGCCCTGGAATACAGAAGAAACTCCAGGGTAACCCTAGACATGCCCTTCCCCTTGGAGATAAGCAGTCACAATTACATGGATGGGATAACATAATTTTATGCATTGACGGCCAGTGCTAGCTGTAATTGGTGGGACGGAAGGCGGGGCAGCTGTTGGTGGGTGGAGCCAAGGATGGCCAGGAGTCCAGGGTTCAAGGGGAAAACTAAGTCTTTCGTTTTGGACACTCAAAAACACCAAATTAGGCTGGGAAACATTCACACATGCAAACACTCCCAATGGCAGCCATTCACTCAAAGAGTGCCCCACTGTACATTACTTACTCACTCCGCAGCATGGCCAAGGATCCAGTTTCTTCTCCAAATTGGAACTAGTCATGTTCACTGCTGCTTCTTTCTATGTCTGGATTCACAGCTGAGCAGTTGGCTTATTCAGCAGCGTGCATTCCATCCATCCACCCAAGAATGCAAAATGGATATAAGTTCAGCAGAGGAGGGACACGCTGAAGGAGGGGGTGAGGATGGGGGGGGGCAGGCAGGCAGGCTAATTGGCTGACAGTACACTTCTGATAAGCAAACAGACAGGAAATGTGGGTAGCTTGAGGTGGGACCCCATTGGACCAATCCAGCACTCACTCCACTTTAGTGTATCTGTAGTATTAGAAGACCTCTGATAATAAAGAGGCCGAGTTAAAAAGTGTGATAGACACATAAAAAAAAGAAGAGTGGACGCAAACCTAATTCTTGGCCTCCTCACATCCTCCCCTTGATGCTACTGGAAGTGTGTGTGTGTGTGTGTGTGTGTAAATCTTCACAACATTGGGGGGGGGAGTGCCCTATAAACTACCTGTTTGCACTGCTTGCCCCAGCACATGCACCTCCATCACCCGCCACCACAGGGTCTGAGCTCCAGGACCCAGGTTCTGCCTCCATGTGGAACTGGTCGCATACTGGCCACCCAGTAACAAAACTGAATCTAACCTCTGAGAAGCCAATGCATGGAAGAAATGAATTTAAGTACGGCCAGAACCTGGCCTAAAACAGGGCAAAGGACGCACCTGCGAGAGATCTGTGATGACCACTCGCCACCTTCTCAATGTCTTCAGCCCCATACCCCCAAATGCAGCCACTTGTGTGGCCCCTCCCGCTGGCCCATGTGCTGCAGAGCCCTGTCTGTAATTTCCAGAATTAGTATCTGTGAAAAAAAAATGGGAGGGGGAGCTTGTTATGACAGAATAGGTATCCTGGGCCATCGCCTCTGTGCCAAATAATGTAATAATATTCGGACAGTAAAATGTCTGTAAAGGAACATCAGCCAAGGACAAAGTCTGTCTGGTTATCCATCTGACCCATCTCAGACCTACATATACGCAAGGGTAGGCTGGCCCCTGACACCCCCAATTTCAAGAGAAGAGAGCTTACTCTCGTTCCCCACCCTCACAGGGGCATTTGGTGGCAGTCCATTAAACAAGACCAGTGTTGCAATGCCATGTTATTGTGCAAGTTCAGTTCTCTTTCCTTGTTATGTTCCATCAAAAGACAGTCATACAGAGGAGGGGCAGGATGTGTTCTCAATGATCCCAGAGTGCAGGCCACATAATAATGGGCTCCGGCTGCAGGAAGACTGATTTAGGCTGCATATCAGGAGAAATTGCTTAACTGTTAGAGCAGTATGACAATGGAACCAATGCCCTTGGGAGGTAGTGAGCACTCCAACATGACATTCAAGAGACAATTGGACAACCGCCTGTCAGATCTGCCCTGATTTGGATTCTTACACTGAGCAGTGGGTTGGACATGATGGCCCAGGAAGACGTGTTGTTGAGAAAAACATTGGTTTCTGAGCTGAAAGCAGTTTGGAAAGCTGGGAGAAAGCAGAATCCCTAAGAGTTCTTAGCAATATCTTGATGCAAGTCTTCAAGACCACGTTATATAAATGATTCCAGAGCCCAAGAGAGCCAGGTATACATCAACTCTGCCAGCATGTGCTGACCCCATTCTTGGAAAATATCTTACTCACCTCAGAGCTGAGTTACTTCATTTCTTCCCTCTGCTTCTCAGTCGAGACTTAGGGCTTGCCTACATTTACATTTGCCCTGCAATAAGCTCTATTCTAAATGGACTTGATTTAGCTCTTGTGACTATTTGAATGCAGGAGCAGATCATACCTTCAATTGATCATTACAAATATAAAACAAAAGCATCAAATAGTGAGCTTTTGATGATTAATCATTATTTGAATGCAGGAGCAGATCAAACCTTCAATTGATCATTACAAATATAAAACAAAAACATCAAATAGTGAGCTTTTGATGATCAATCATCTTCTTCAAAGCTGAGCCTCAAGTTCTTGTGGGCAGGTCCAAACTTATGTTTAGACCAGCAGTCGTAAGATCGAATCCACACGACGGAGTGAGCTCCCGTCGCTTGTCCCAGCTCCCGCCAACCTAGCGGTTCGAAAGCATGTAAATGCAAGTAGATAAATAGGGACCACTTCGGTGGGAAGGTAACAGCGTTCCGTGTCTAAGTCGCACTGGCCATGTGACCACGGAAGATTGTCTTCGGACAAGTGCTGGCTCTATGGCTTGGAAACGGGGATGAGCACCGCCCCCTAGAGTCGAACACGACTGGACAAAAATTGTCAAGGGGAACCTTTACCTTTACCTTTACCATCTTCTTCAAGGCTGAGCCTCAAGTTCTTGTGGGCACGTCCAAACTTATGTGCTGTTTGTAATGTCCCAGATTCACATGGCTGATAGCGTACAGGCCAGGTATACCTTTACACTTTTTAAAACTTGCGTTTCAAAAAGGCAGGAGGAGAGAAGGAGCCCCTCCCAAGATTACCTGTGACTGTCCTCTGTTTTAAGAGACGGGCCATAAATTCCAAATTGCTAGCTGAAGAGCTTGAAAACAACATGCGTGAAGCAGCTGTTTCCATCTAAGAAGCTTACCTGGCCTCTATGTCATTAGCCATGTGGATTTGAGACATTAAAAAAAAACCAGCACATAAGTTTGGAACTGCCCACAAGAACTTGATGCCCAGCCTGGAAGAAGATGATTTATCATTGAAAACTTGCTATTTGCTTTTGATTTTTGTTTGTTTTATATTTTTAATGGTTGATTAAAGGTACAACCTGCTCCTGCATTTGTATTGTTTCCACAACCATGTGGCCTTCTCCTATATTTTTCTGTGACTATTTGAAAGATTCTTTGCATTCCTACCTGGGAGATGGTTGGCAACAGCAGCCTCTGTGTGGGGTTGTTTGGGTCTGTCCCTGCCCCCCGCCCCCCTACCACTAAAGCATAGAGACTGGTCAGTAATAAATCCTTGCCTCTCAAGACAGTTTCCTCCCCCTTTACCTCCCAACTGCCTGCCTTTATGGTACCCTGTTTCCCTGAAAATAAGACCTAACCTGAATATAAGCCCTAGTATGATTTTTCAGAATGCTCGTTATATAAGCCCTACCCCCAAAATAAGCTCTAGTTAAGTGAAACCCCGCCCTCCACCCTTGTGCAGCAACCAGAAGAAGACAACATGACTGTATTTGAATAAATGTAGATGG